GCTTCACCATGACAGAAAAAGAAATTAAGATGAAGCAGTGATGCTCATTGATCAAGAAATTATGTGGCTTGCAGTTGATAGAGAATTGTGCAAAGGCAGTCAAGAAGACATCTTTGCCTAAACTAACCATTCTTTCACTGCTTAGCGTGAAACCCAGTTCTATTTCTCAGCAGGTTCATACTGAATACATTTTCACGCAGATGAGCAAAAGAACAGGGATAAAGCAGGAAAAGCAAGCATATATCAATCAAGTTGGCTTATTGGCAAGCACAAATATCTCAACCTTGCAGAAAGTCGAGATTCTGACCTCCTGCAAGTGCTTGTCTTCCCTGGTGAAATGCTAACTCAATTTTATTTGATCCAAGTAAAACTGAGACCAGAGAGAGGCCTCGTTTGCAAAGAGCTTCCATCTGTTTTGTTCCTTTGCTGCACGAGAGCAACCTAAATGGCATTCACAGAACTGGAACACAAGAGTTGCAGTGTGTTTGGCCGGGTATATGAGGAGTGTGGGTAGGTGCAGGAGTGCACATGACGAAACATTTCAATGGTACAAGTACAGCTAAGGTGAGGTACTGCACATGGCATCCTGTATTTGTGAAGATGGATGGAAGGGAGTGCCCTTTTTTTACACTGGAAAATGGGATGCACGAGTTAGACCATACCTCACGGATGATGCATGTTAACTTTTTTATGGGGATTTTCTCAGCTGCTGAGGACTTTGCCATGCTTAGAAGATAAAGTAGTATTTTAAGCACCAAACTTCAGTGTTGTATCTGTGTAGCTGCTACTTCCACAAGATGTTTAGTGCTGGGTCCTGTCCACATCACAAATGCATTTATTGTGCCATGTTTTCCATGGCTTGCAAGTTCTAGTAGAATAAATACTGGTAAAAACATAAGGAGGTCCTTTTCAAATAATCTGTAAAGTTTTGGATCCCCTTCCATATTCTCTTGGCCAAAAGACAGTTGGTGTAATTCCTACACCACCAGAACAGGTCATGTTGTATAAACAGCTGGCTGTCGAGACCTTCCATATCTTTTGTATATTATCTTAAGAGGATTTTCTTCATTCCTGTAATTGTTTCACAACTTTTCACTATCAGTATGCCACAAGCAAGAGCATTAGGTTAGAACATTAATGTTCTTTATTCCTCTTCACACTATATGCATATCAGTATTTACACAGCAATGACTAAGCCACTGGTCTAAGCTAAGCTAAGGAAAAATGAGTGCTCTCAGCCTCTGGTCTTTGGGCTTCTCTTCTGAAAGCACCTCACCCAGCAGCTGCAGATCCAAGTAATCTTATGAAGGAGGTAATGGGGATATCAGTGAGACGTGAGGAAGGAACTTCTGGCCAAAGAAAGGGTGTTCTTACATAAAGCAGACTGAAAGAAACTTCTGAGGCAGCATTAATTGAGGCATGTATGTATTATTTGCTAAAATTCAAAGAGGCATCTGGGTACAAATTATGTAGTTCATGAATATGCAGTAAGTACAATTGTTAAATGTCTGACTATGTATTTGTAACTATTGCAAATTATCTAACTCTTGCATATGTTCACCACCACCACCCATGAGCTGCTGGACCAGGTTGATTTCCACTACAGAATTAGAAGCTGTGATTGTTTGAACCACCAGATATTGAGCAATGAATTAAATGAGTTACTTCCTCCATGCTGACTAAATTCTATTGCCCACTGCACACAAAAAGGCACTTATTTGAGTTCTCAGCTCTGCTTTTCTGAATATATACAAATAGCAGTTCCTACAGTGTGACAACAGAATTCAGGGGAATGCAGTAATTGCCTTGCCTTGCATAAGTATTCAGGGAAGAGAAATTCTGATACTACACCAGAAAAAAAAAAGGTAAAATACATGCCTTGTTGTAAGTGCAGAAGCTGTCCCACAAACTTGAGAGCATAAATAGGGCACATTTTTACATGCCTTTCTCAATAACTTCTCTTTCTGTAGTCAGCATCATGTTTTTTTTCACAGTCCAGAGCTGTTTCTTTCCAGCATACATGCTTTCTCCATAAAAATGGTGAAGGAAAGAGCAACTTGGGTTTGTCCTTGTGCCTCACCTTCTTTCCACAGACTCCTTGCCCCAAAGTGCTGTTGGCTGAGTCCCAGCAGCAAGGAGAAGATGCTGTGGTAAGGACAGATTCACTCCACAGGACAGAGGAATGCCTCTAGCAGGGAGAGCTCCTCTGAGTAAAACTGGCTGGGAAGGGTCAGCCTTGTGTCTGAGAACCTCTGTGTACAACTTTATCATTTTATTTCTCATTAACTGTATGATAACTTGCATAACACATTGTATCAGAACCATTTCACTACAGTTTCTAGAGAAACACATGCAGAAGCTCACAAAAATGAAGCTTTCTTAAGCGCACCCAAGCTTTTATAGACACAGATCAGAAGAGACATCTCCAGTTTTAAGCAGTTACTAGAGAGAAGAAAGTCATCAGCTTATAAATTATTTATTTCTCTATAGCTCCAAAAGTAATAACCCAAGAAGAATGCAGTAACATCTATAATCATGTCCAGTTTCGTTACTAGGCTCACGCACGTGACAACTTTGTTTCGTATAAATACTATGTATAGTTTTATTAGAAAGAAATATTATTTTGATGTTAAGACATCAAGTTATAAGCAGAAGGATAATAAAGAGGTTGTTATTTTATTAACATTGGAAATATATTTAATGGAAACATTTGCAAGAGTGTGTAGTGATGGGGAAATACTGACTGTTAAAAGGTTTAACAAAAACATAAACCTCCCAGGGACATACGGGATTAGTCTTCCTTGCAAAACTAGAATACTGACACATAACAATTCTTACATGGTCAGGTTAAACCAGAAAAAGGAGAGGAAAATTGATTGTGTACAGAATTATGACAATCCCTGGAGTTATTTTTGGTCCCGGTTTGAATAACATTTTTCTCACAAGTATTTCACAGTTAACATGTTTAGCCCCAGAGAAGCAACAAAAGATAGGGTCCAAGAATTTGTTAATTTCACTTAAGATTGATATGTTGGTTCCTATTACGCATTCCAGTAACTATACTGTTCACTTTATTTATATACAAAATACTAAAATGTGTATAAAATGATTGTGATTTTATGATGTATTCGTAATAACAAAGATATTTTTTCTTACACTGTCGGTAGTTGCTTTTGTTCCATGTAGTTTTGCTTGCACCTGCGGCAGTGACTGGGAGAAACAAGGAGGACGCTTCCAGACGCTGCCTTTTAGCATCCCGCTTGGAGCTAGGCGATACGCACAGCCACGACCGCGGCTCTGGGGGTACGGCGTTCCGTGCTCGTGGCCGTGAGGCACAGACCCACCTCGGTACCGCCACGGCCTCACGAGCGCTGGCTTGGTGGTCTTACCCGCGCTGTCGGCACGCGCAGCTTACAGCTATAGAATCGTTCAGATCTCTCAGAGCTTCTCACCCAATCCACCCCGCCACGCCCACTGTGTTCCTCAGCGCCACATCCCCGCGCTTCCCAAACACGTCTGGGGATGCTGACTCCACCACCTCCCATGCTCAGCGCGTCGCCACCGCGTGCCGAGCCCCACGCTGAGACTACACCTCCCGGCATGCAGCGCGCCCGCGTGGGACGGCTGCGTCGCGCCGTCGCGCCTGTGACGTCACTGACGCGCGACGATTTCCCCTCCCCTCTCCCCCTCCTTCCTGTTGGCGAGGCGGCGGCGGCGGGATGCGGCTGTCGCTGGTAGCCGCGATCTCGCACGGGCGCGTGTACCGGCGGCTGGGACACGGCCCGCGCTCGCGCCTCGACCTGCTGCGCAACCTGGTGACGGCGCTGGTGCGGCACGAGCGCATCGAGGCGCCGTGGGCGCGCGCCGACGAGATGCGAGGCTACGCGGAGCGGGTGAGCGGCGGGGCCGGGCCGCGGCGGGCGGGAGCGCCGGCTGAGGGGCGCTGACGGCCGTGCCCCGCTTCTTCCCCGCAGCTCATCGACTACGCCAAGCGCGGGGACGCGGACGAGCGCGCCATGCGCATGGCGGATTTCTGGCTGACGGTAGGTAGCGCCCGGCCCCTCACCGCCACCGTCCCGCGGGCCCGGGGCTGAGCGTGCCGTTCCACAGGAGAAGGATCTCGTCCACAAGCTGTTCAAAGTGCTGGCGCCCCGCTTCCAGCCGCACCCCGGCAGCTACACCCGCATGCTGCACATCCCCAACCGTGACTGCCTGGACCGTGCCAAGATGGCTGTGATCGAGCTGAAGGGGAACCCCTACCCACCGCTCATCCGCCCGCGTCGTGACAGCGATAAGACGCTGCTCAACCAGCTGCTGAAGGGCTGCCGGGAGGACGCCCAGCGGGATGCAGGCCCCTGAGGGCATCGTGCATGCATCCTGCTCTGCCCCCAGCGTGTCCCATGTGGGCAGCAGGATGGGGCCTGGGGTGAGCTGCCTGTGCACCAGGCAGTGAGGTTGCATCCCAGGGCAGGACACCTGCTCTCCTGGAGCACAGGGGTGGAAGGGTCCTGGGAGGGCTCAGGACACCTTCCTAGCCTTAAGTGATCATAACAGGGCACAAGCTCAAGGTTTACCTTCGTGCTCCTGTGATTTACTAGCAACTTCACAAGAGAAGGAAATCAAGCTGCGAGCCCTACTGGTTGATGTCCTCTGTGTAAATAAACTACTTTGAAAAGTGAGTTTGCTTCTGTTTGGATTATGTTATTGTGTGCAAGAGTTAATCATTTATTCCAGCCCGTTTCTGATCCTGTACTCTGCAGCCCTGTACTCTGGGATAATGTCTCCACGTATCTTCATATTCTTTAGAAGCCACTGTGCAGACTTTCAGCACTGGAAATTCAGAGAAGAATCGAGTTAGCTTCACTGTTTCAGCATTGCTGACTACAAACAAGGACAGTAGTACTGAAGTTCATAAAAGCAGCAGTACTATAGCAAATTGTATTACTAGGAGGCAATGTGGCCAGAACTAAGTTGTTGAACTTGGTAGACAGCCTCAGGTGTAGAGTTGTAGGAAACCTCTTTATTGTGCTCTTAAAACAAAGGGATAGTGGCAGAACTCTTACAGGCAATAATGTAACAACTCAGAGGTACGAAACTTGGAATTGCTAGCTTTGCCCCTGATTTGTTCAGTCCTAGCCGTAGCTTCTGAGCTGGGGAAGAGATATAGAGACATTGTGTTCCTTTCTCCCTCTAAGTGTCTACAAGCTAAGACTACTCAGTAATCTTAGATAGTGAAGTGTTAGCTGAAACGTGTTAACTCACATGAAAGAGCTTACAATTCAGTCATGCTTTCTCCCACAGACTCACTTCTGTTTTAATGAAATCCAATGAGAAATTTAAAATGTGTGAGATATCGTGTAAGGAAAGGAAGAGTGAATGTTACAGAGACCTTAATCTTTTTGAAGGTAGGGTTAGGTTAGGTCATCACCTGCAGGGTGTGCAATTCTAAGGTCATTAGAAATAAGAAATTGCATGCCTTGCACTAGATGGCCTAACGTAATCTACAGGTATTTTCTCCATAACTGAAGAAATGAACCAACTGTTGTTGCTGTGTAGCTTCCCCATATTAAAAGTTAATGTTGAGGCTTTAATTCAAGAATAGCCTACTGCAGCCATAAATTGGTCTTGTGCTCCAGCAAACTGAACTGTAGCACAACCTCTGCAATCTAATGCCCCAGAATGCTCCTTCTATCCCTCCGCAGATTCCCACCATGCTTCAAGAGCAGAATTACTAACCAGTTTTTTCACTGCTGTTTCAACTGTATCATTTCTTCGGACTCAGATCAGAAATGCGAGCCATGTTTCATAAGTGTGACTCTGTTGCCTATCAGTTCATCTCAGTTATCTCAGCAGATCAATTTTTGTTGATTTGATGAGAGGTAGGCATTGTTTTCCCTTATCTGCCTACTTGTCACTTTCTCAGAGGAGGAAGGGTAAACTATTCAAAACACTTTGGTAAAAAAACAGAAGGGTACGAATGATGAAAAATCAATGTCAGGGGAGGAACACTGTGGCCCCTTGGCACTAGCTGAAAAGCCTGTGTTATGTCTACATTACTGGTAGCCAAAACATCCATTTTATTCAAAGAATTTATAAGCCAGAAGTAAGAGAAGGCAGACACTCAAATGTGCCAGTGGTGATCTGGGTAAAAAGTATTTAATGAGGGCAAGCAAGTGAAGGTTTCTTCTAGTGGGACTTACTTAGATTTAATAATCTCAAGAGAAAAGGGGTAGAAAAGCTAGAAGACACTAAGGGAAGTTGGGGGAAAGTCTTTTTAATTACAAATTGATTGTGCATACCCTTTTTTTGCCACAGGTGTTTAAGAGAGCTGACAATGCATTCCTAATCTCACAAGCTCAGTGTTCCTCTAAACACAGCTCTCCTACTGTACGTCCCTGAATGTTTCCTGAATTTATGCTATCTTCTCTCAAGAGAGGCAGTCATCCTGCTAAGCTGTCTTGTACTCAGATGGGTCAGGCTTTCAGCTGCCTGTGGAGGAAAATGAAGGGAAAGTTCATTGTTAATTTAAGTCTGTTCTTTTTACTCTCTTGCGTTCTGGCTATCAGTCAGATCTTCTCTATCAGACTTACAATAGATATATAATAGACTCAAATATACATGTCCATATGATTGTCAGTATAATTCTTCTGTCCCCAGCCCTCTGGAAGATAAAGGCGTACCTGACCGCAGTTGTAAGACTCTGGTGCCAGTCATTAATATCTTGCTGGACAGTGGACATCAACAACAGTGTCTTGTGTGGGAAGGAAAGCTGAAAGACAGATGGAAGAGATTCAGTCCTGCATGTTGATTTCTGCCATTTTTTTTTCCCAGAAAGCTAGAAACGTTTTGCATTGGCACACAGGCTGGAAAGAACACAGCATGTGCCAGACTTCTAGCTACAGATGTCAGCTTGCTTCGACTTAACAGTGTTTGGAAGTCAGCAATGCCTATCTGTATCTGCTGGTCTTTCAGTTTTCTCTATTATTTCAAGCTGCCTCTAGAGGTCCTTCTACTACCACCAACTACAAACACACAATTTGACAAAGAATTTATAGCTTACACTCAAACAATGACTCAACAAAGCCTCGCAGGTGCTGCAGTCTAGAAAAACCTGAATTTAAAACCCTCACCTGGGGCATTACTCCCAGTCAGAGCCTGTGCAGTCCTCAAAGAGTTGTAGGCACAAGCAGTACCCACTGTGATTGTTCCATCCTATTTTTCCATCCTATTTCTGCATTCTCTATTTTTTAGCGTTCTCTCTGAACTAATTCCACATTACTGTAATGCTGCATACTGCTTGTCATGAGGCTGTGGGCTCATGACACGAGCATGTGCTCAGTTGAGGGCATGCCAGAGTGTGATCAGACTCTCCTCAGTTGACCTATGTGGAACAAGCAGGAGCCTGTATTCCAGTGCTCAGCAGGGCCCAACGATGAAGGGAAAAAGACAGCCTGCCCAAAAGAGAAGAGCTGCCCTAACTCAGACTAGTTCCTTGCATTTACCATTGTCACCACTTACCACCTCAGCCATGCTGCTGCTGAGACAGTTAGAGACTTGATTTGCAATCTGACCCACTGGTAGTTCTGCCAAGCAGAAGCAGGAAGACTTACACTGAGCAGCCCTCCCTCACTCTGAGTGTGGCCAAATACTTTATCCACTACACACTGGTGAAGGGGATAGACAGCTGTGCAGGCAAATTTATTGGAGTTCAGCAGATGCAGTGGGTGGCAGGGCTTTGCTGAAATAAAGATATCAGAAAAAAGGAAGAACATCCTGCGCTTCAATTCTTCGCCCTTTGAGGGCACAACCAAAAGCCAGCCTTCCCGGATATACCAGCGCCCTAGGCATTCAAGAAAGAATAAAGACAGTTGTCAGACAATCACCGGCGCGAGAAAGGATTTACCATTACAAAAGAGAATACCGTGAGCTGCCTCGTAAACCACCAGGCTCTGCACCAACCCCAGCCACTAGAAGGCACCTGCGCGTCAACACGTCTTAATTCAGATCCCACGTGCTGTCTTGAACTGGGTTACTCAATTGTTCGTCATTAACAGCAAAACAGAAGTCAGCCTAAAGTCTGAATATTTATTATATTTCCCCTGTTTTTTCCTGCTTGTGTGTGCTGATAAAAAACATTTCACAGGTCACCTAAATATATACAAACCTGTACAAGTTAACAAATCACAGAGTGGAGATTGCTGCCGTAATGAAAGACAGCAAAGGGATACAAAAATAAGATGCTAAAGAGGGCTTCAATAGGCATTTTTATTAGACTATAGACAGGATCCACTGTACTCTACCCACAGAATGAACAGTAATAATTAAAAAGGTAGAGAAATCAGCTGGAAAAAAAGTAATTGAAAAGCCCAGAGGTAGGCAATAATTAAAAAAAAAAAAAAAAAACAGGACATACACAAAATGGAATAATTAAAGCTATGCTTCTAAACTTTATTGTACTCAGCATTATTGTAGACAACAGCCATTAACTCTTAGTGAAAACACCTGCCAGAAAGAAGATTATTTATAACAACCCAAAGCCTTAATATGATATCACCACCTGTCCTGGTCTGGGAAACAGCTGCCAGAGAATTTCAGACACTGTTTTTTGTGCTCTTGCTTCTGGCTGTGCTTGCACTTTTTTAGAGAACAGCACTGTGTCAAGTATGGACCATGTGTCTTAGTATACTACACGTACAAAATAGAGACAAGTGAGCTGCTGCTTAGCTCAGTCTACAGAAATGGTGTCTCCTGCCAGAACAGGAAACTGAAGAACAGAACGGAGAGGCAGGGATCAGTTCAAGTTTAAAAAACAAATGGAAAGAAGGTGTTGGTGTGGGGCTGGGCATCATTTCCCTCATGCTATGCTGTGATCAGGCTCAATAACATATAGACTGAGCTGGACTATGCGGGAATGAATAGGGATGCATTTTCAGTATTCCACGTCGGCACGTGGAAGTTCTTGTGAATGAAGTCTAGGGAAACACCCCCTAGTGAAGCTAGAGATGACAAGAACAGCATTTTATGTCAAGGAGACAGTTCTAGCTGAGATGGTGTTTGCTCTACATACGAAAGGCAGCAAGAAAAGCAGGGTCTCTTTGCATTGTGAGCAATATTGGTATTGTCAGAGACAACACCAGTAGTGAGAAACTTAACTTCAAAACCACTTTTCCTTGAATCCACAAACATTACGTTTTCTGATCTTTTTCTCCCTAATAATAGGATGCAATCCTTAAAAAAAAAAAAGCTAGCTAGCTGCTGGACAAACAATGTTGTCAAGCTTGCAAAGAACCAGTAATACTCTGCAGCCTCTGACTTTCTTGTTTACCACATCTCACAAGACCTAGTTTACTCCAGCTAATGGAAAGCCTTATAATCATAATTCTCTGCATGTTGACTGTGCATACTAGAGAATGATAACTTGTGATCAGCAAATCATTTTTTCTACTTTCACCATAATCCCTATGTACAAAGAAAAAAAAAGTACCATCACAGTCACAGATGTGGGGGGTGCATCTTAGAGATCTTTAACTTTGCAGCTGCTGCAGTGTTTCTAGGTGACCTCTGCAACAGCAAACAACAGCAAATTTTAGTGAAGCTGTGCAGGCATGGATGAAGCCCCCGGTGGTCGACTCATATTTGTCCAAACTGGACATACTTCTCACAGTGTTCCATGTGTACCTTGGAGCATGTTCTGGGCATGGAGAGCAGTCAGTCAAACCACAGATCCTAAAAAACCTTATTATCCAACTAGATGATCTTACATGCCAGTTACTGTGATTTTATGTATCTCAGCTATTAGTACAGATACTCTGATTTCTGACAGAGTCTAACCTTGCAGCTAAAAGATGTTTCTTTTCATGTATAAGGTGTGAGCAGAAGTTTATGAAATTCTTCTCCAAAATAATTCAGCTTCTTCCTCTCGTTCTCACCCAGGACTTGTATTCCAGACCTCCCTGGGTTTCTGTGAACTAAGTTTCTGAATGTGTATCATCAGCTCCTTTTATCTGAACATCAGACATCTAATATGCTGCTTATCTTTACTTAAAAATTAAAAAGGTGCCTAAATTCCTTACTAATTACATTATTTTACTACCTGTGAAATTCAGATCAGAAGGGGAACTGACTGACATGAGTAGGGTTAGAGATGAAGGCAAGCATACCCCCAGTTGTCTCAGCTTGGCAGAAGGAAAACAGCCGTCTGTAGGACCTACCTGGAGTCAACACCTGGATCTTCTGTCCTTTGAGGAGTTTCTGAATCCTGTGTAGCTGCAGTGAGTTCTCTCTCTTACGAACAACGTCCTGAACCCATTGAGATACCTCAGAAACAGATTTCACAGTCCCTGAAATTATAGCAGCATATTTTCAGGTTATCACAAATGAGTATGTGTACTATCTTGCTGTGAAAACATAAGGTGAAATTAAGAAGCAAATGTTTTAAACCAAGTATCCATAACAAATTTATTTCTTAATTTCCGAGAGAGATTACACTAGAAGCCATCAGAAGATTCCTTCCAAACAACATTTTTGTGATTCTGGAAAATATTTATTTGCCAGTGAAATACTATCCAAACGGGTTTAGAAGCAAGAACAAGAAACAAATGCCCCACTGTAGATGATGTTGGCTGCAGGAGAACGTGACATTAATTATCCCAGAAAACTGAGGTATGTGACAAATAGAACAGACATTTTTCCACTCTAACCCCACACCAGTTTCCCAGTAGGTCAGTCTACATTGCAATTCCTCACTCTTTCTCAGGAAGAGGGGTCAATCAAAATGGTGATGGAAAATAGTAATGCACTGGAAACCCAAACAAGATTTTTCTTGGGGAAAAGACAAAAAACTGGACTCAAAATGTTAGCAAGGAAGCTAACACTGATAAAAATGCTAGTATTTATCGTGGCAATCAAAGCAGCAATGTTTACAGATGGTATCATACTTGCAAGTTTCTGGCATTCAGCACTGCCTGGGCTGGTGTTCTCCAGCAGGTCTCTGAGGAAATGCTTGTACCTAAGACAGAAGAAGCTTTATTGCACAACACCAGGAACAGAAATATCACCTTTATTACCAAAATCATTAGCAGTGTGCCATCAGCACACAGAGTACACTCTAGGTCTAACCAGGCAGCTTTGGGTCATATTTCATTGTTCACAATCGTTTCATCTTCAGATGCATCAGTTGCAGTACCCTATATTTTTTATACATTTGCAAGCCTTTGGAATTTCCTGGGGAGCTGGTAAGAACAATTTCACTTACTATTGCATGAGACATGGAGACAACTTCAAGATTCATACGAATGCCTTAAATTACAGACATTTTGCTTTGAACAACTTTTTTGTTGTTGTTGTTGTTTCTTTTTTATGTTTGAATGGAAGCATTCCTGCCATATATTCTCTATTTACAAAGAAAATAAAGGCATTCCTGTCCAGTCTTAAACTAAACTAAAAAGAATCAGATCTCTGCAACTAGCTTCTCCCAATAAAATCAAACTATTTTCAATCTGAAATGACAGAACATATACAATATTGAACAGATTCATGAAATGGTAGAAGTCATCTCACCTGCAGTACATGTAACTGAAAAGTGAATATGAAAGAGCTGATTAATGAAAAAGTTAGACCATCTGTTAAAAAGGCATAATTTCTCCAAGAAATATACTGTTGTGTTACAAATTCAAAGGAATGACCCAAAGAATTACAGCAAAAAAGAAAGCTTGCATTTACTAAGTAGATTAAAAATGTTGTATAATGCTACCTGAAAGACCATGGTATGCTCAACCCTGTATTTTCAAAGAAACAAGGCTCTGATCTCTTAAATGTACCATAGTATGGATAAGACCGTGGCTAAAGAGCAGCTTGTCCTACAGCAGCTGCAGCCGGGACCCCAGAGCCCTACTTATGTCTGTACTACCCTCACACTCCTCTCCAAAACAGGCAGCCACTGAGTGCATGCAGCACTCTCCTCATGCACTCAGCCTGCTCCTCAAAGGATGCCTCAAGGAGAGGGCAGCAATGCAGATGGGATCTGTCTGTCTCAGGCAACCGTGGCAGGCACCAAATACAAGTGAAGCAAATACAAAGAAAACATGGTCCTGATAACCAGACAGAGGAGAAAAGCACCCTTGATTTAATCTCATCTCTCTCCAAGAGCAGCCATTTACAAGAAGGGAGTCATGCTCCAGATCAGCAACCTGCACAAAAGCAGAGCACAGCAATCTCTAGCTAGGAGCAGCACTTCTGTGGTGTTTCAGACAGCTTGCTTTTGTTGAGGGCCTAACTTCAGCCACCTACTGAGATGACTGATTCTACCTGAGAGCTTAATAAGGGGCTTAAGAGCCAGGGCTGAACAAAGCAATCTCTGCATCAGTCACCATCCAGACACACTGATTCTGCTTTACAGGCACATCCTGAAGACCATTTCACTGCAGTCTACATGTTCCAATTTGGAGACACATAACATTACTATTAGCAAGACACTATATGTGTATGTTTGCTTTCTCATACTAACACCTTGAGGACTCAGAACTGCTTACTTACTGGTGCAACCTCTGCAGAGGCAAAGGAAGCAAATCCTCTAGCTTTTTCCCTTGAAACTGAGGTCGAGTTTCTTGGAGCTTCTTAAAACGTCGGAATGATTTATTTTTTCTCAATTGTTCCTGCATGCAGCAGAGAAGATACATTATTTTGAGACTACAAAAGAAATATGCATGCTAGTTTGCACCAGCGCTTAGAAAACAGAACGTCAGTACTAAATGCAAGCATCAGCAGCTTATTTTGTAGCCATGGACAAGCCATTTCCTTTCTTCTGACCACTATCTCCCAGTGAGTAGTTTCAGTTATATCCCCTCTACATATATGCACAGCAATACTAAGCTAGCATTCTGGTTCCAGCAGAGACAGAGTTAACCTTTTCTTTACAGCATTTGGTGTGATGATGTGCTCTGGCTATGTTGATAACACATGATGTTTAGTTGTTGCTGAGCAGCACTGCACAAAGCCAAGGATGTTTTGACTTCTTGTACTGTCCTGCCAGCAGAGGGGCTGACAAGGGACAGAACCAGGACAGCTTAAGCAGGCCATAGGAATATTCCATACCACAAGGAATCATGTAAAAAGACTATAAAACTGAAGGGTGTTGGCTGTGGGGCAGGCACTGCTGAAAGACCAGCTGGGCACTGGTAGTGAGCAACTGCCTTGTTCATCCTTCGTTTTGTGTGTGTACAAATATACACATTAACACACACATAAACAAATACAGAATTGTTACTAGCACTGCTGGGTTGAGATAAAAACTACAAGTATTTCGTATTTGTTTCTTTCCTGATCCTCTCCACCACCACTCTAGGAGGGGAAGAGTGAGCAAAGAACAGGTGCTGGGCTGCTGTGGGGTTAAGCCACAAGTTAGTATTACCACCTGCAGCTTTTTGCCATTCATTTCAAGACAATGCAATGCAACCCCTCATTCCTATCACGTCAAGGCAGTTACCCAAAATGAAAAGTATGATTATATGTGAGCAAGCAGAAAAGAACAGAAATCCTAGTACATTCTGCAGCTAGCAATAAACACTGACAAGAACCGAGGTCAGGCGGTTTAAATTCCCAATACGGCTTTCAGGACTTAGAAATAAAAACACATTTATCCGAAATATCTCAGAAGACAGACTATATGTGGAAAGCTAAGCAGGAATTTTCCTTTACTGCAGAAAAGAAAAATGGGGAGGAGAGAGGAAATCCCACCACTAGGATACACTTAGTAGCAGTGGAGGAGATTGAGAGACCTGATAACTGGCTGGAAAAAGACCACTGTCCCCTATTGTTTACACTAAACACACTCCAGGCTTGCAAGCCAAGGATTGGAAGTGAAAACGTTACTCTGTTAGAGAAAGCTCAGTATGTGCACACACACAGGTACCAAAACACCTCAAACATACTTCAAAAAAACTGAAGTTCTAAATAAAGAGAACAGTTTTTACCACTCTATTATGACAGAAGGACAGAAAACAGCCCAAAAAAAGGAGGAAAACCAAGCATTCAAGAATCAGAAGCAAAAGCAAAATAATGCTTCAAAGAATGGAGAGGAGGGAAAAGGCAACAGGGAGAGTAAAGGCAATACATACCATCAAAGTTTTATTTGCCTGTTCGAAATTCTCAGCATAGTGACCATAGAGCTCCAACTTGTGACAGAAATTTTCCAATCCTACTCCTAAATTGCCTCTCTCCAGGTGAAGCGACAAAACTCTGTGCACAAGGAGGAAAGACAATTAGGCAGGAGTACATTTCTGATACCATTTCCCCAGCTCCTTCTGGTTCACTCCTACGCTTACTTTCATTTGCCAGCCTCCATCTCACATTCAGTTTCTATCCAGAATGTGTGCTTGGTGGTCACAGAACAAGCTGCAGAAAACAACCCATAAAAATACTACAGAGTAGACTTACTGGGTTTAAACTACTATCCAGAAAACAATTGTAGAACAGAAGGGACCTTAAAGATCACCTAGTTCCAGGTGACTCCCCCACCTCTCTGGACAGCCTGTTCCAGTGCTCCATCACACTCACAGTGAAGCTTTTCCCCCAGTAAGAGTTTGTTCACTTACTGGCTGGCAGAATATATGGATTCCAGGGGTCCAAATATGGTTTCCATTACAGCAGGTTTCAGTGTCCCTTTGGCCTTTAAAATTGTCACAAAGAACTAAACAGGAAAGAATTAAAAATCACAGGTAATTCAGAGATCATTCTTAGCACTGAGCGGAGGCAAGAAATTGCAGCCTGCACACTCAAGCTCAGAAGGACAGCAGGTATCATGAGCACCTATCTAAAATATCTATTATTATACGTAAGTGTTTTCGGTAACTTTGACTATAGCTGTAAACATGTGACTGAGTCTATTTCAGTATTCCGAGATGCATCTGTTTTTAACCACCTACTTCTTAATCTACCTCTGTGTCCTCTATGCCCCCATGTTTTATGTCTCAAGAATCTTAAACCAGGTCCCCTGTACAATCAAAACTTATGGCTGGATACGGACCAAAGCCAAAAGGCCAAAAGCACAAGCAATCAGATGCATAACAGGAGGTAAAAGAGAGAAGAAAAAAAATAGCTTTCAGGCTCAGCAACATAAAGAGCTGTAATTTGTCACATGTTGTATAGATGCATCAAATTCTTGTTCTGTGACCTCATGACGCCAGAAATAAACATGTGCTTCCTGAGGGCAGCCATGTATCACAAGGGCCCAAATACACACCGTTACCACCAAATCCAGCTGCTCAAGGTATCTGTGCTCCGTTTCCAGCAGCTCCTTGGCCGTGCGGCTGCGCTTTCTCTCCCAGCGAGCCCTCTGCTCTTCCACTGTGTTTGCTCCAGCCACCGGTGGAAGGGGTGAGTAGCTCATGGTAGCCTCAGGGCTGATAAACAGAAAGGTAACCGCTACTGAGAGCCAGGAGAGGTGGACACACAACAAACGCACAACGTGGGCCGAAGGGTACAATTCTAAGACACAAATTCTACTGTTTCTGTGGAAGACAGGAAGTCAGCTAACATTCAACAACAGTTTCCTCAGTTTCCTTCTGCATTCTTTCTTGTGAAGCCCTGCGTCAACCAGAGGAAAGGTGACAGTAAGACCAGACTGTAAAAGCAAGAGAAGCAGTACGTCACGATGCATCCGTAAGCAAAACTTAAGCATGCAATCCCACCTGCTTTCGTAGCCCACTACTGCTGCTTCCTTTGCTTTAAGCCATTCTTCATGCAGGATTCTCACTCAAGTCACAGACACAAACACAGACAGCTCACCTGCACGTTGAAGAGCTACAGCATACAGAAATAGAAAACAGCCCTAAGATCTGTGTTACAGGTGGGGAGAGAGACTGTTTTTTCTCCGTAGAGGATCCCCTAACAGTGAGTGTTCTGCACTCTTATTTGCTAGCAGTAGTTTGTCGCTTCAGAGGTGAGAGCCTGAGCAACCAACATGAGCCATCTTGTGCACTTGTTAACAGGCTTCTCTGCTGCTCTTCTTCAAGAGCATCATGTTTTTCTAACACAGAAAAACACTCTCAGCACCCTCTCCTGAGAAAGAAGCATGTGCCAGCACAGCATTCATTACCTCAAGCTTTCTTTTGATTAAAATTTAGAGAGGCTTGTTGCATGCTTGCCATGATACAAAGTCTGTGGTTTCAGGGGAAGCTTGCCACTCTGTCTTGAGCTACCCCCACAAGTGTTCTGGCTCACAAACATCCAAGCTATGCTAGCACAAAAATTTATGTTGTTGCAGAGAAAGGCATTTGTCAAATACAGCCTATTTCAGATATTCCAGATATTGAAAGCCGTACAAAAAGAGAATGGCCTCCTTTGTCCTAGCAAAAGTCCAGATAGCTGAGGGACATGCACATTATTTCATAGCACCAGGAGTTTCTCCAGGTGTTTTTTTTTCCTCACATTTATTCATGAAACAGCAACAAGTTTAGCTAAGATCAAGTCTTTCTCATGACTAAATGTAGCTGGGAGCTGGAGAGGTAGTGCTGCAGTAATGCTAACCAGTGGTTTAGCATCAGCACAATGTGGTGAAATACCCACAGATCATGTTCTGAGCAGCTATCCTTCAGTATCTTTACCCAGGGCAGGCTGAATAATTTGTTTAAAACAAAACAAAGCAATAAATAACCACCAGGTTATACCATTTCAGTTTAAATGTACTGAAATCTAGCTATTTCAAGTCTATGTTTGGTGAGTTGCCTGGAACCTCTGGGCAGAACAGAAAACACAAAAGCACATCAGCTTGCTTCTTTTTTCTCAGACTCAGTATAAAAACCATTGAACAGTGTTTGTGTAATTAATGACTTCAAGACGCTGTGCTAATCTTCCAGTGACGCTTCTGAGATTACCAGTTCTAACATACTCAAAAAAAAATCTCATTGTTATCTTACCCTTCCTATTCCTCTTGGTATATTGGTATTCCTCCGAAGTCTTAACAGCCTAACAGGTTGGTTTCAAGAGCGATAGTACTTGCACACTGCCTCCCAGGAGGTAACACTTCGAAGTGCTTGCACTCTACACATACTGTTTCCCTATGGTTGCATTCTGACCAGACAGAAACCAGGGTCGTGGCAACCCCCGCTGCCAGTACGAGCCGGGGGCCGTAGGGACAGAGCACGGCCCTGCCGGAAAGGACCTGGGGGTGCCGGTGGATGGCAGCCGGGCGTGAGCCAGCAGTGTGCCCTGCGGCCCAGGCAGCCGGCCGGATCCTGGGCTGCAGCCGAAGCAGCGCGGCCAGCGGGGCGAGGGAGGG